CGTGTGTGTTTGGGTGTATGTATGTTCGACTGCAGGCCACAAGCACGTGGGATTGAATTGGTATATTGTACGTGCCTCTAAGTGCACGCAGTTGACCCCCATGCAGACAACGGCGTGATAGCAGGGGTTTAGGGTTTCAGTCATATTAAGAACACTAGGGTTTAGGGTTTTGACTCGTAGAGTTAAGGCCAATACTATGCATGCAGTGACTGCACTGGTGTGTGGTACGTATGCCACACACGCACGCTGACAGGGCCATATTATTCTATAGTGCAGTGGAGACAGAAGACGCCGTGCACTTTGTTTACCAGCAGAAATACAGAGGTTTAGGGTTTGAACTAATAGATGTGAGCATAGCTGACAGGGGTCTAGGGTTTGAAATCAATGGATGTGAGCATAGCTCACAGGGGTCTAGGGTTGAATCAATGGATGTGAGCTTAGCTCGCTTTTTACCAGTAGAAGTACAGGGTTTTAGGGTTTGGTTTAATTGAGGTGAGCATATCCTCCTAAAACGAGAGTACGCGGTACTTCCTAAATTCAACAGTAGCGTCTTGGTTCGCAGGGTTTAGGGTTTAGATCAATGTTTGATTTAATTCCCAGGGTTCAGAGTAAGGCCAATCCTATACATAAGGTGACTGGATTGGTGTATTTCTCGCTCACCCCCTTCCCCCTCACACACACCTACACACACACCTACACACATCTACACACACACCTACACCCGCCTACACACACATACACACAGATGACTCGCACGCAGACAAGGCTGTGTTAGCCGATAGCATAATGAAGACGGAGGCCACTGTCAGTATAGTCAACGAGCAGAAGCGCAACATGGAGTGCATGGCCAAGACAGTGGAGTTGGCGGAAGTCCTCCACGCCCCACACATAGTCACACTCAGCAGGGCACTTCTGGGCCAACTGAAGGTACGCTGCATATGTGTATACATGTATAGTGTATGTACACACGTCTGTAGTGTATGTACACATGTTTATGGTACGTACATCATAGTGTACGTGTATACGTTTATAGTGTATGTATATACGTTTATGGTGTATGCACATACATATATAGTGTATCTACATACGATTAGTGTATGTACATACGTTTACGTTGTATGTACATACGTGTATAATGTATCTACATGCGTTTATGGTGTATCTGCATACGTATATAGTGTATCTACAAATATTTAGTGTATGTACATACGTTTACGTCGTATGTACATACGTGTATAGTGTTTCTACATACGTTTATAGTGTATGCACAAACGTTGATGGTGTATGTATATTCGTTTATGGTATATGTACATTCGTAAATAGTGTATGTACATACGTTTATAGTATATGTATATCCGTTTATGGTATATGTACATTAGTGACTTGCTGTGTGACTACATTAGACTATGTTTGTTATTATCGTTATCGGGAGAGATGAGTCACCTACTAAGGCTAGTATATTTCTCCCTCTCCTCTCTTTCCTCATCCTCTGTACGTGCAATGGCACAGATTGATGAGGTGTCCACTGTCAAAACCAAGCGACAGGGCTCGTACATTCACTTCTTCAACGATGGCGTAATGCTATCACGCAGTTTCAAAATGAGTATATCCTCGAGATCAGCCAAGATACTACTGTCTCCCACGAAGGTGTGTGGCGTATGAGGAGTTATAGGGTTTGTTGTAGATGGATGGGAACGTAGTTGCACTGGGGTTATACAACTCTGTAGACACTTCAGTGTGTGCCCCTATTGCATATGCGCACTCCATTGATCGTCTGCGCACTGCGTGTGTTTTGAGTAGGTTTTAGTTCTGTGATGTTGACACCGTGTCAACCCCAAAGGCAACGCACATCAATGTCTCATAATGGACTGTTTCGATTCTATTCATCGTAGTATTACTAAATAAGGAATGTCGTTTGATGCTTTTCATCGCAGTACTAAAGAATAAGGAATGTCGTATTCATCCTTGAGCTTATGAATAAGAAATGTCGTCTGATTTTAATCGTCGCAGTACTTATGAATAACAAATGTCAGCTATAGTGGCAAGTCGTGAGTGCTTCCCGATTTCTCACTCATCCGTCTCAATTGTCTTTTCTTTTCTCCATTGCAGTACGAATGCATCAAATTAAGGAAAATCGGGAAAGTCAAAGCACCCTCTGGGGAAGTAGGTAAGCAGTTGTACCTGAGCTGCACATGCACACTTGCGCATAGATGTGCAAAGGCAGACGCAGACAGTACGCGTGTGGGTACTGTAATGTTCATGGAGGCACATTAATATTGGCCATTGATAACTTTCTGCTTAAATGCACACCTTGAGCCGAGAGATTGGGCGAAATTTCAAACAAACAAAAAACACACGCTCTGTAACCTGATGATCTGAGTGTCTCTGCGCAGCCAAGCGCAATTGTCTTACCTATTTTTAACGTTTTAACGTTTGGATTGTTCTACAGCAGCACCATATTGTGATTGAAAGCGTATCTTTTGACTGAAGCCAAATTACGGATTGTTTTTAATAAACATGTTTTATTGACACAGTGGTGAACGTACTATCGGTGGTGTCTGTGGCTGATGTATCCTCGTACTCATACACCCCAACGCTTTGCTGGATTGCTGTTTGCAGAATATCATATAGTAATAGAAGCCCCCTACCAATCACTTAAGCACAAGCGCACATTCGCCTGTCGAACGGAGCAGGACTACGTGCAAATAGAAACCTTTTTCGCTGAGAAAGGAAAGGGACCGCCGGTAAAATCAGACCCTTCGAATAGCAGGTATCACTTATGATTATAGGGCAATCAGGTGCTCAGTTGTGAGGCGTCTTTTGGGACTGTGTGGTATTGGGTTGTGACTCCTGGCGCATATTGGAAATGGATTATAAATTCAGCGACTCAATTTTGGGGATTGGGATCAGACATTCAGAAGTACATTTGAAGAATCGGGTTTTGGCTGAGCTAACTTTTTGGGTCTTGCATGTCATGGCGCACAGAAATGGGACCGGCAGCCCAAAACGTCCGAAAAAAGGTTCACCAACGGACTCAGAGGTGCCGAAAAATAATAATCCCGCACCAAACATAAATAGACGGATGGCCAAAGGTACGTAGAACTTATGTGCACGGTATCTGGTATATATTCCGTATGATTTAGGGTTTGAAATTGTAATATTTATTTTCAGTGTTTTATAATCAGTGCCGATTTTTCGATCAATTGTCCCTTTATTGAGCATCTTTATGTGATTGATGTGCTCGATTAGCACCACTCAATGTGACCCATTTGCACAACGGCAAGCGGAACGGATACTTTCTCATTGTGATACACACATGTGTGTGGATGTATCAATGTCTTTACCTGATGCAACAGAACACTTAATTGTGATACACATACGTAAGTGGATATAACAATGTACGTATATATATATATATATATATATATGTATATATATATCCTCATTGTGATACACATATGTGCGACCATCACAGTTCCTTCACTTATGCAATAGAATACACACTCCCCCTGTTCTGTGTGTATGAGTGATAGGGCCCTGTTCTCACCCAACCCCTCTACCACTGCACCGTACAGTAATAACTAGGTCCGAGGTTGCGTACAGTGGCGACTTCTCGAAAGCCGAGCTGTCCAAATTAGAACGCACCAAAAGCAGTCCTGCCGGTCCTACTTCTGGGTGCAGGATAGTCACAAGTACCGGAATTGCAGTCGATGTAAGTTGTGTGCGTGCGGCTCGGCTATAAATAGATTCTATGTGGCTACACATAAATTGACGTGCTCGAGTTCTTCCGAAACTTCGTAGTGTAAAGTCGGGCGGCTATATATACCCCGTGTGTAGTAGGTCCCAGAGAAACGAGACTATATATATTAATGGAGTACGGGTTGAACACATGTTTTGCTGATGCTGAAGTGAAAAGTTCGGTATTCATTTGGTGTCGGTTGTATTTTGTTCGGAGACTTGGCTGGCGAATATATCTCAACCAACACTTTCGACTTTCTAGTATAGAGTATATATATACCAATCATATTCTTCTAATCTTACCCACTTCTAATATGATATCTCTATACCAATCACATCCAACCTATCTTACCAAGTTCTAATAGAGCGTATCTATATGCCAATCACATCCATCCGATCTTACCAACTTCTATTAGAAAGTGTCTATGTTTGAATCACATTCACCCTATCTTCAGTAAATTTCGCTCATCTACCAGTTATAAACACAAATGCATCTATAGCACTCGCACGCCTGTCAAGCCAGCATGCTAAACGGGCTATTGCTTTCCTTGACTGCTCCGCAGCCAGACTACATAAAGATCTCTGGCTGTGCACGCGACGCAGCCGACCCATTCACCTTTCTCTATAAGATACACATCGGAAAGACGGCCAATCAATACATCTACCGCAGCTACGACGACTTCTTCGCCATGCACGTGCAGATATGTGGTATGGGCAACATGTGTGGAAGCATGTGAGGGGTTGTAGAATGTAGTAGTGTGTGTGTGTGCTACCTGTGTGTAAGCTGTGTAAGCATGTGAGGGGTTGTAGTGGTGTATGCCTGCATTGCGGTCGATCTACGGTGTGTTTATATACATAAACACATCCAAGCATACGATTCATCACAATCTATACGCACTCTCGCGACCTTTGTATGTGTGTGTGTGCGTGTCAAATGGGTCGTTTGCCGTCCATCACGAGGTCTATTTAACAATACAAAAAAGACAAACGACAATCCTGTCCATATGATTTCTTTTGTTTTAATCACCGCTCTCGAGAGGGCGGGGGGCGAGTCCTCGACAATGCTATGTGCACGAAGTTGATCTGTGTTTTATATATATGGAAGTGATCACAACCTCATGGACCACAACTGCTTACGTATAGTAGTGCGCCTGAGTGATACTCTGTGTCGTAGTATAGTGGTCTTCTTATGTGTCGTATACATGCTCGGCTGGGTTATACTTGCACATGGGCCGGCTGGGTTACACTTGTACATGGGCCGCCACGTGCAGCCGTATACACGCACGCGCATATGTGACTGTGTGTACAGCATGAGCATGTGCTGAAGGAAAGGTGTCAGTTGCGTTGCCCGCAGACGCGATTGCTGCACTCCATCTGTGTGCACGCATGTGTTCTCCCTATCCGTCGCATGCTATAACTCTTCAACCATCAAAGTTAAAAGGATGTCTGTGACAGCGAACGAGTATAGGTGTCGGGTTGTTGTTGTGGTTGGGATCTGCGTACTATAAAACAGGCGTCCAGACTCGCACTGCGCCTGAACCACATTCTGTAGGACCATTGCACCACACGTCTGAAATACGGGGTGAACCCAATAACACGCTATACCTTAAATACATACGAAGATGTACCAAAATTTCGATACAAACGGCATACTCGAGTGCACACAGACGACGAGCCATACATGGGTGTGCGCCAGTGTTGTTGGAGGTACGAAGCCATATATCCAAAACATAGAAGCACCATTAGCATGTGTATATCTGTGCATTTGGCTGGAGCCATGCGTATGCACCCCACGCAAACGCAGTTTGATTGGATCCCAAAATAGAACAGCACACACCTTCCCCGCAGCTACCCTCACACTCCCACTTACACTCGCACGCGTGTCTGTCTATTCTCTCAGCCGAATACGCCACACTCAGGTCGGCCGAGAGTATACTACCAGAACTCATACCACCCAGGACCACACTGTCAGAGGAAGCCGCAATGGACTTGCAGCAACCACTGGCCCAATACTTGATAGTATGTTGTATGCAAGAGCCTGTAGAGTAAAGCCTGTGTGTGGCTTTTGTAGCTGTGTGTGTGTAGGTATGTATGTATGTGCCTGTGTGCTTGTATTATTCTACTAATTAAATGTATATGTAGGTATGTTTGTCCCTATGTGCTTTTATTATTCTACTATATGTGTATGTAGGTATGTATGTCCATGTGTGCTTGTATCATGCTACTAATTCATGTGTGTATGTAGTTAAGTATGTCCATGTGTGCTTGTATCATGTTACTATTTCATGTGTGTATGTAGGTATGTATTTCCTTGTGTACTTGTATCATTCTATTGATTCATGTGTGTGTGTAGATATGTTTGTCCTTGTTTGGTTGTATTATGCTACTAATACATGTGTGTATGTAGGTATTATTTCCTTGTGTGTATGTAGGTATCTATTTCCTTGTGTGTATATAGGTATGTTTGTCCTTGTGTGTTTGTATCTTGTATTATTTCCTTGTGTGTATGTAGGTATCTATTTCCTTGTGTATATATAGGTATGTTTGTCCTTGTGTGTTTGTATCTTGCTACCAAATCATTTGTGTATGTAGTTATGCATGTCCTTGTGTGTATGGAGGTATGTATTTCCTTGTGTGTATGTAGGTATCTATTTCCTTGTGTGTGTATAGGTATCTATGTCCTTGTGTGTATGTGGGTATGTATTTCCTTGTGTGTATGTAGGTATCTATGTCCTTGTATGTGTATAGGTATGTATGTCCTTGTGTGCTTGTATCATGCTACTGATTCATGTGTGTATGGGTTAGTATTCATTATCTGCGCTTATACGATCTTTGTAATTCCGTAGTGAGCAACAATGCATCTGAACATCTCATACGTGATCTCTATATAGCTTTGATCGGTATACCTGTATGTATCCGTATATATGTGTTTTACGTTTGCCAGTCGATGTGTATTCGGGATGTGCCTGCGTATATATCGGGAGTATTCAAAATATGCACTCATATTTTTTTTCTTCTCATTCCATTTCACTCATCCTTTAAGACGTATACACGTGATCTACGTGTGCATGTCCTGCCTACCTACTATAAGCTCGGTCATGCATTGGCATTCTAGGCTCAACATGCGAAATTTCCTCATAATGACATGTCCCAGGATAGAGTCTCATGCGCAAGATAGCTTGTCTATAGTTACCGAGATGGAGTGCGTATGTGGTGTTGTATATACAGCGGCTCATGTCTTTGTACTGCTCTCTCGATGTGCAGGATATCATCAATCTACCCAGGCTGTCGAATTCCTTATCAATTATCGAGAGCTTCCTGGTGTCACCCAGCGATGTCAATCCGGAAGCGAGGATGGCTCAAAACGTACAAGAATTGCCGTGTACGTATTCTCACAAACCGTTGAACATACATCCATGCTTACATACACACGGACATACATACAGGCATACTGTGTTATAGTCTTGTCATGAATTTTATTTTATTTTTCCTCGTCTATTTTATAGTAGTATAGCTGTGATCTAATTTTCTTCAAGGTCTAGTTTGTAGAGGTATAGATGTGTGCTCTGGTTATTTCATTACCTTTTTATACTCGAATATTCGTGTGTATTCAAAAAACAATTAACTCGTTTGGGGGTGGTGGTCGTTTCATATCTAATCGACGCAGATTCCATATATCTGCTCAAGTATTTCTGATTCATATTATATTCTTCCTTGGTACATAGTGGCGCCTTTTCCCTGGGGCCAGTGCGGCGACAACGTCTAGTAAACTCGCCGGTACCCGAGCCTCATGCGAACGGTTACTTTCGGTTGCCTTTAGGACTATAACGACTAAGGTTATCGAGGGTTTAGGTGCTCTGTATTGTATATCCTGATTCCTTTCGTAGGGAGGTGCAGGATTAAAGAGTTGTTGGAAGCCTGTCGTAATTGAAACGGATAACAATGGATGCACAAATATGTGAATGTGCAAGCGGCTCGGTCTCGTCTAAACACGCTTGGACAGCTGTGATAAGCAACAGGACTTCTCTCCAACCCTTCAGAGATAACATTCGAATCGAAATGTTTCCGATCGATGTCTGTACTTGAGATATCGGATTTATAACCGTGATCTATGTCAATCAACGTAGAGTACACAACAGTAAGAAGAAAAAACTAAATAAAAAGTCCCTCGCCTGGACAGTGGAGCACTGAGAGGTTTTCTACTTTTCGGATGGACTCATGTTGCCTGGTAGAATGTATTCTTAACACAACGACAACATAACGACGAAGTGGGTGAGAAGTTACGATAAATGTTCAGATGAAAGTTTGTCATGCACAACATAGACAAAGGTTTTGATCATATAAGCTCGTTCGTTGTCCAATTAATGAGTCCTGTGAATACGCAAGGAACAAGCATAGATGGAAAGTTTTTGAACAGCATGTGTATACAATCTAGTTTGATTCTGCGTTTGAGTTAACTCAAGCTCTAGAGGACATACACTCAACCCCTATGATCGATATACGTAGATGACTGTTTCCGTGCTCAAGCAACTAGAATCTACCTCCGTGGAATCTTACATGTCTACAAAAGGGAGGGTCTGAGTCTAAGAGGACAAGGCCCTCTCTCTGATTCATATATCACACAATCCTGCGGAAGGCTTCGGAAGGCTATCTACAGGCTGACGCGTTTCAAGACTCGAGACTCGTCAATCATCAACTCATCACTCAAGTCAAAGTATAAATATGATGTGTATACATATGTAAAACTATTTTCAAGTGATGGAGAATAGTTTGAGATTGTTGGAACTTGGAGTCCGGAGACACGGGCTGATGGAGTAAACTGTATACAAAAAGTATTCGAAATTCAACCAATCAGAAATCAGGCTTGGTGGCTGCCGATTAATACTAAATATTTCTAATTTCACGTCTGTTGATTGTTGTCCCACTCTTGTTTATCTTGTGCCTGCCGATTTATACTGAATATTTCTAATTTCACGTCTGATGAGTGTTGTCCCGCTCTTGTATTTACTTATCTTGACACATTAACTTATACTATATATATGTACGGCTCGGAGGCACCTTCAACAAGTACATTTTATACACACAATATCAACGACACGTAACAAGATGTTGCAAGCTGAGAGTTTACTGGGCCCTGCGCAAATTGGCATCATGAATGCGCTTCGCACAGGCAACACATTTCTGGATTTCGCTTTTTGCCTAATTGTGCCGATTGTATTCTCTGCATTCGCGGTATATATAAAAGAGTTTAACACAATATGTTGCTGTGGGAGCTAATGGGAGAGATTATTGAAATGCGATGATTCGTATACGCGACATATTATTCATGAGACGGCAGAAAACAAATACGGCCCTGTCTACGATGTGGATCAAAATAATCATATTCTGCACAAGGCTATACTGGAGTATAACACCCATACTTGTGACTTGTGCTTCTCTGGGGGTCACTTCCGCTTGGTCTGCAATGCTAAAACGGTGGAACAGGCTTATGGATGGGGTAACGAGGACGATGGGTCGGTGCTTCAACAGTTGCACTCTTTCGATATTATCGCAGAGCCACCGCCCAACGAGTCTGTGGATGTGGGGAAGCAGGTATATTTGACTATTAGTAATGCTTCAACATCTGAGCAGGAAGGGAAAAAAATCATTATCCACTAAGACAACGTCCGACTACATTCTCACCGCACATGATCAGGATGCCAGGCAACGTGTCGATGAGCATGTACAGCACGCTTACCAGCGGTATATGGACTATGTGGCAGCGCAGAGAGATGTTGCGAGGTACACGTACGTCATGAGATCTACGGCCTAGGGAAATGACTTAAGGGAAGAAAAACATTACAATGTGATTTACAAACGCTATGCATTGAGTAATGACAAAACGTTCAACTCAATGTTTTTCCCTCAGAAGGCTGCACTGCTCCGGTTGCTGGATCATTTCAAGCATCATACGGGAAAGTTCTCGATTCCATCATACCCAAATAAGATAACACTTCTTCTGCATGGCTCTCCCGGCACTGGCAAAACAAGTCTCATTAAGGCACTTGCGCAACATACAGAACGTCATATTGTCAGTATCCCGCTGGCTAGGATCAAAACTAACCAAGATCTCATGGATGTGGTTTTTGATCAGTGTTATCAAATTCAGGGCAACGACTTGACGATGAGGCTCAAGTTTGAAAGGGTCGTTTACGTGATGGAGGATATTGATTGTGCGAGCAAGGGTGTCTTTGCTCGTGATTCAACGATAACGGACACTCTCACTGGGACTTCAGATGGCAGTCTTCTACCCAATGATATGGTTGCTCCAAGCACAGTACTGGAGAAACACAACACACATGGCACGTTGACGCAAGACATGTTGGATAAAAGGAAAGCGAGTAAAGGGTCCTCGCTTGGTGTGGCTGGAGACGATGATCTGGACCTAGCTGGTCTTCTGAATGTGTAGGATGGCATTGTAGATTGCCCGGATCGCATTGTGGTCATGACTACCAATCATCCTGAGAAGCTGGACCCAGCGCTGATTCGACCCGGGCGAGTTAATCTTACTGTGTATTTGGGGTTTTTTCAACCCGCCGAAGCAATCGAGATGTTGGCACACTTTTTTCAGTGTGCATTATCACCTTATATGCAAGACTCGGTGACGCGATCATTGAAGACGGCCATTCGTACATTTACTCCTGCTGAGATGGAGCAGTTGAGCTACGAATACGACACTATGGATGAGGTACTCGAAGCGCTTGCAACAGCTGCTTCGAAACCGAAAGAAATTATTTCGGCTCACCACCATATTCCAGCGAAGTTTAAACAAACATCAACATTAGAGAGCTCATTGGAAGACGTGGATTCGATCAGTTCTGTATCATTGGACTTGTAATCTCAGTGGGATTCTGGAGCGGATTGTTATTCTCCGACATCGGAGAAAGAAAAGGAAGTCTCATTAAAAGATCTTTGTGTCATGGATATACTGCAAGGTAGAACGACACGATGCTTGCGATACAATTATAATAGCGTGAATATTGATTGTATATAGTAAAATTAAATAGTTCCAACCATCTTTCTGACAAATAAACTACTGTAGCACTTCAATAACGATTCTGCCGTATTAATTGTAGGCATTTGATAATTTAAGCCCAAGCGTGGTCATTTTCTCAGAGATGGTACGCTAAAAATCCACTTAAACAAAAGACAGGAAGAAATAACACTATAGATCACCGTGTGAGGTATAAAGTTCGACAGGAACTGCATGGTCAATTCACTATTTTATCAATACAATGATACGAACAGCGATATAATGAAACGAGCTAGTACTACCCTTCTCGCCGCACAGATAATCAATCTTGTTGCCGTTTAATAGGGCTACAACGTGAAAGTCATGGGAGGAACATGCACGTCATGACTGTCCCAAAACATTTTGACTCCAGTACCGCCTATAATGAGTGTGACTAGCCTACAAATGAGGGTTCATCAGTTTCTGCAAAAATCTGCTGCGATGCTCGGAAGTGATTAATAGCATATGAATATGCGTACGAAACGGTAGGTAACCAAGTAAGACGATATAATACCGTGGATGAGACCGCAACAAAAACTGACTATAGGAGATAATACCAAAAGTAATATATATATATATATATATACATATCTCGCATTTAAATGAGGTTAAAAAAATGAAATTATAATCGACACGAAAATTTGAGACTATGTCGGATATCGACTACCAAATACAAGACCTCAAATCTTTCACAACGGCGTACAAAACTATATATATGACTGAAACAGTTTATGAGACAAAAACCAAGACTTAATACGCGACGGACACAGCCTCGGTAACTGGAACCGTTTATAAGATAGTGATTCAAAAACGCGATCGACACGGCCTCGGTATTGAACTAGAACCGCTAATATAAGTTAGAAATTCATATAAGGTGTTTTTAAAAGTACGAGACTGATACAGCTATTGTCACTAAACCTCTCCTGCATCAGAGTCAAAGACTGAATACGAGGCCATTATAGCTACAGCCACTCTAAGGCCAACACTGCGCACTCGCAGTCAGGACCTCAGCCTCCCAGGCTCCCTCATGCTGGCTTGTCATTTTGAAACAAAACCATAGCCTTCTTCTGAATTCAACAAACAAACAAAAACAAACAAACAAACAAAAGGACCTTTTTCTAAAATACAAAAAGCAAAAGGCCAAGCAGCAAATGATTTTTTTGTTTTTTAAAATAAAAAACAATATACATATGTATAAAATACTTGTTGATTTTGTTGTACAAAATAAAACAAAACAAAACAAAACAAACCAAACCAAAACAAAACAAACCAAACCAAAACAAAGCAAAACAAAGCAAAACAAAAGACAAAACAAAACAAAAGCAAAACAAAACAAAACAAAACAAAACAAAACAAAACAAAACAAAACAAAACAAAACAAAACAAACAAAACAAAACAAAACAAAACAAAACAAAACAAAACAAAACAAAACAAAACAAAACAAAACAAAACAAAACAAAACAAAACAAAACAAAACAAAACAAAACAAAACAAAACAAAACAAAACAAAACAAAAACGAAAACGAAAAACGAAAACGAAAACGAAAACGAAAACGAAAACGAAAACGAAAAC